TTATTTAGTATCTATTATTTTTTTAATTGAACTGTAAGCTAGTGGGGCCAAGGGCCTATTCATCTCTTTGTACTTAATATAGATATGTGGAATAGAGAATGGCTGTGCTACTAAAGGCATATTCTGAAGACCAAAATTTCACATTATTGGTGATTTTTTATTAATTACTCTTGACTTACGGCTCGGTGCCTGTAGCTCAGCAGCTAGGGTGCTGCCCAAATACACTGGGGCTGGTGGGTTTGAACCCAGCCTGGGGCCTATCAAACAACAATGACAACTATAACAAAAAATAGCCAGGCGTTGTGGCGGGCACCTGTAGTCCCAGCTACTTGGGAGGCTAAGGCAAGAGAATCGCTTCAGCCCAAGAGTTTGAGGTGGCTGTGAGCTGTGATGCCAGGGCACTCTACCGAGGGTGACATAGTAAGACTCTGTCTCAAAAAAAAAAATTATTCTGAGTTATATTTGTGGTACCTTCTCTTCCTTACAAATGATTTAACACAAGGGCAATGAATAAAGTACCCCGTAGAATTCACTTTTAGGACAGATTTTCTTTTACATGGAAAACTTGCCAGCATTCCTTCTGGTGATTAGAGATGAGCACTACGGCAGCCACCGTCGTTCCACTAATACCTCAGCTCAGGGAACGCAGGCTACCTGGTTCTAGATACCAGAATTGTCTGCCTGTTCCCTCCAGTGACTAAGGTAGACGTAGGTGTGAGAGTTATTATAAACCAACCTTCATTCTTTCTGGAAGGAAACAGAAGCATATAGTCCACACTGGGTAAGTAACAGTTATTATCATCAGTTGGAGTGTAAATAAAGCATTTTGCTTTGCTTAGTTCAATCAATACTCGATGTTTTTGCTGACATTCGAGCAAAGGCATACTGTTGCCAAACACACTGAGGGCTGGCGCACAGTGGGGGGTGAATTCCTCTTCCTTCCTGGGACCTGACCCAGCGGTCGGCACTTCTCTGTCTGTTCTCTGCCTCCTCTCCTTACTTAAAACATAATTTTATAAATAAACACAAATGATTTGACCAGCTTCTTGATCACATGTTGTCTCCTTAGGCAGGAAAACAAAAAAATTATCCTACCTAATAAGGAGATCCCGGGCTGTTAAATTAAGTTTAGCCTAAAAAATTACCAATTCAAGTTACACAGTAGTTTTAAAAATTTAGTAAGGAGATGTCCAATGACGGTGATGATGATGATTAAGATCATCATAATGGTTGCTATGAGGGAGGCACTACTCTAAGTGCTATCTGGATACTTATTCATTTAAATACCATAACCTATGAGGCACGTTACTACTGTCATGATCCTAATTTAACAGGTAAGAAAACTGATGCACTGAGAAGTTAGGTAACTTTCCCAAAAGTCACACAACCGGTAGGTGGCAGGTTGGGATATTAACCTATATATCTAGGGTCAGGGTGTGGGGTAAACCCCCACAAAAATTAAATGAAATGTGCTCTTTTAATTCCAGAACTGAGCGAAAAGACTTGTGAGTATTATGTGCTTTTGTCGAAGCCCTAAGTGACCTGGGAAAACACGGTGGGGGCCTGCAGGCCAGGCATAAAAACCTCCTACAGGTAACCCCGACTGTGCAGTCAAGTCAGCCTGTCAGATAAGGGTTGAAACGGCCCATCTGTGCAGAGGACATGACTCAAAGGTTGATGTGAGTAAAAAGAAAAACTCCATCGTAATGATGTGAGTAAAATGAAAAACTCCATCGTAATGATGTGAGTAAAATACTCCATCGTAACTGCAGGGTCTCCAAAACCATAAAAAAACAGTCATGAAGCCTGTTTCTCGGAAATTTGAGTACATAGAAAAGAAAGGTTTTACTCCTCTGTTTATCTTAACCTTTAACTTTAACAATAGAAATCAGATAATGTATTGTTCTTTTAGATCTTCCAAGAGGAATAGCCGGAGGCTAGCTTAAGATGGTTGTCTTACTTTCTCTTACTTTCTTTAGGCTAATCTTATGATGGCTATCTCACTTTCCCAGACTTTCTTTCTTTTCTATAGTTTAAGATAAGAAATGAGGATGTTAGGATTATTGATCAATGTGGTGTACGACTAGCTCCCAATAAAAGGGAGTGGAAAATAAAGACATTTTGCTACATGCCACTTAAGAGTGTGTAGTCGTTTCTTGCTTTTAAACAATTCTAGGAGCAAGCTTGCACCAGTGGCCAAGCTGTTCTTCTCCCCCTGCGAGAAAGAACATCACCTAACATCAGGGTCCATATTTTTAACTGCATAGCTATCTGGCCAATATAGAAATAATACTTGGAGGCCAGAGCTAACAAGTGACTGACAGCTTTAAGAGAAAAAAACTATTGGCTAGGCGCCTGTGGCTCAAGCGGCTAAGGTGCCAGCCACATACACCTAAGGTGGCGGGTTCAAATCCAGCCCAGGCCTGCCAAACAACAATGTAACCAAAAGATAGCTGGGCGTTGTGTCGGGCGCCCGTGGTCCCAACTACTTGGGAGGCAGAGGCAGGAGAGTCGCTTGACAAGCCCAGAAGTTGGAGGTTGCTGTGAGCTGTGACGCCAGAGCACTCTACCCAGGGTGACAGCTTGAGGCTCTGTCTCAAAAAAAAAAAAAAAAAGAAAAGAAAAAAACTACTGACTAAAAGTGAGAACTTCTGCCAATCATTTTAAAAATTCTTTTTATGCTCATTATCAGAGTTTATACTCCACACTTCCTGAGCATACTGTCCCACCGAGAAGGTAAGAGTGAAGAATGTAGCAGAGAGCCGGCTGGAGCTCCCACTCCACCACGTCCCAGCTGGAGACACCTGGCTTGTTATGTGACACGCAAGGCAGAGAGCTGGCTGGAGTTCCCACTCCACCACGTCCCAGCTGGCGACACCTGGCCTGTTATGTGACACGCAAGGCAGAGAGCCGGCTGGAGCTCCCACTCCACCACGTCCCAGC